AATAATCATACAGAAGTAAAATTTTACTGAAGATAATTCAACAACAGTTGTAGCAGTATATCCATAAGCAGCTTCCAGAAATTGAAGCTGGATTTAGAAGAGGACATGACTGAGGAATATCACTGCTGATGTCAGGTGGATCTTGGTTGAAAGCAAAGAATACCAGAAAGATGTTTCCTGTGTTTTATTGACTATGCAAAGACATTTGACTATATAAATCATAACAAATTGTGGATAACATTGCAAAGAATGGGAATTCCAGAACACTTAATTATGCTTATGAAGAACTTGTACATAGACCAAGAGGTAGTTGTTCAAACAGAACAAGGAAATACTGTGTGGTGTAAAATCAAGAAGGGTGTGCATCTGTGTTGTATCCTTTCACCATCCTTATTCAATCCTTATTCAATCTGTATGCTGAGAAAATAATCCTAGAAGCTGGACTACATGAAGAAGAAAGCAACATCAGAATTGGAAGAAGACTTATTAACAACCTGCAATATGCAGGTGACACAGCCTTGTTTGCTGAAAGTGAAGAAGACTTGAAGCTCTTAATGAGGAAGATCAAAGACTACAGTTTTCAGTATGGATTACACCTGAACATAAAGAAAACCAAAATCCTGAGAATTGGACCAATAAGCAACATCATAATAAATGGAGAGAAGATCGAAGTTGTTAAGAATTTAATTTTACTTGGATCCACAATCGATGCCTATAAAAGCAGCAGTCAGGAAATCAGATGATGTATTGCATTGGCCAAATCTGCTGCAAAAGACTTCTTTAAAGTGTTGAAGAGGAGAGATGTCACTTTGAGGACTAAGGTGCACCTGACCCATGGTATTTTCAGTTGTCCCATATGCATGTGAGAGCTGGACAATGAATAAGGAAGACCACAGAAGAATTGATACATTTGAATTGTGTTGCTGATGAAGAATATTGAATATATCATGTACTACTAGAAGAACGAGCAAATCCGCCTTGGAGAAAGTGCAGCTAGAATGCTCCTTAGAAGCAAGAATAGCCAGACTTAGTCTCTCATACTTTGGTCATGTAGTCAGAAGGGACCAGTCCCTAAAAAATTACATCATGCTTGGTAAAATAGTGTGTCAGCAAAAAAAGAGGAAGAATCTCAATAAGATGGATTGACATAGTGGTTACGACAGTGGTATTAAATATGGTAGTGATTGTGTGTGGACGGCATAGGACTAGGCAGTGTTTTGTTCTATTGTACATAGGGTTGCTGTGAGTCAAAACCCTCTCAGTAGCACCTAACAACAACAAGGTTCTTTGAGCATCTTTGATTTGTAGATTCATATCCTTCATTAGATTGGGGAAATTTTCTGTCATCATTTCTTCAAATATTCTTTCTGCCCCTTTTTCTTATTTCCTTCTGGAATTCCCATGATGCATATATTAGGTTTCTTGTTTTTCTGTAATTCCACGAAACTGTGCTCAGCCTTCTTGAGCATCTATAATTTTAGCTGTCTTATCCTCTGATCTGCTGATCCTTTCTTCTGCCTGATTAACTCTGTTGGTAACTCAACTCACTCACTGCCGTTGTCTCAAATCTGACTCATAGTGACCCCTCTTTGGGTTTTTGAGGTGGTATCTCTACAGAAGTAGGTTGCCCAGTCTTCCTTCAAGGAGTGGCTGGTGGGTTTGAACTGCTAGCCTTCTGGTTAGCAGTCAAATTCCTTAGGCACTACACCACCAGAGCTCTCCTTTGGTAGGTCCTTCTATTGTGTTTCTCATTTTGTTGTCTCTTTCAGTGCCATATCTCTTCTTTTAGATCTTCATTTGGTTCCTGCATTGTTTGCCTTATTTCTTTCAGCTCTTTGTCTGTTTTCTCTTAGTTCTTTAATAATGTTTAGTGTTATATTATATTATTCTATTTTCCATTATTTGATCATTTCTAGATGCTGTTTCACTCCCTTTCACTCTCATACTTATTTGGATGGACCATTCTTTCTCTGTTCTCTTTGTGTATTGTGATTTTTTTTGTTGAGGCATTAGAATTTTTAAGAGTGTTAACTTTCTTAATTTCCCGCAGTATTTGATGTTTTTGCTCACACTACTTTGTGCAAAAAAACTCCAGGTTCTCAGAGTTTTGATCTTTGTTTACCATTTCCTCTCCCTCTCTGTGACAGCTTTTTCTCCCTTTCTGATTTAATTAGGATTTGAAAGTTCTGGATCTTAGTTTTCAACTTTCAGTCTCTTCCAAACACACCAGAGAACATGCTGTTGTCAGTCTCTCCACTATCAAGCAACAACACTCAGGCGAGAGATATTACACTAATCATTTTGTCCATCAGGCAGCACAGTCTTCTGTCTCTGGGTATTACTTCCTTTCCTTTCTGTTTCTACAATCAGCCAGAAAAGCCACACCCACGAAAGCCCCCTTTAGAACTGGGAATTGCCCTCCAGTTTTCCCCAAATCTTCTTCCCTCTGCTTATAGCCGAGCTGTCATTGAGGAAATACACAAGGAAAGCACAGGCAGATCCTCCTTCTTTTAAGGAGGAGGAGGGCCTGACATTCCCCATATGGACCTCTGAGAGATCTGTCTTGTTGGTTTCAGAGCCCCAGTGGCCCTGTCACGGCCCTGTGGAGTAGCAGTCTACACTTAAGTGACTCACATTCTACCTTCATTGTAGGGAACTTTCTGTAGGAGTTCATATCAGTGTAGCAGTTGACAGTTACCCAGTGGGGAAGGGATAGTCATACTCTCAACAGACCTCCAGGGAGATCTGCTGGTTGTTATCTAAGCCTTTTCCTGACTGTGAGTGCAGCCTCCACTAAAAAATGCCTGCCTGCTAGCACACAGCAGCCTCCGCAGTTCTTAGTTCCAAGTGGAATGGGGAGTAGACAGACCCAAACTGATTCCCAGGGAGGTCTGTCCTGTTAGTTTCAGAGGCCTGAGATAAGGGTTCACAGGTTAATTAGCAGTTATCAGCTAGGGGAGAAGATGTCATGTTCTCCTCAGATCCCAATAGAAGTCTGCCTTGCTGCTGTCAGAGTCCCCGGTAGATGGTTGGCTGCGAGTGGATCCTCCACCCAATACTCCTGCTTCCTACCACACAGTAGCCTCAGTCAGCAGTTCTCAGTGCCAACCAGAAGTAGGGGCACATTAACCCTAATTGACCCCCAAGGAGGTAGGCTTGTTCTCAGGTGCCAGAGCTACGGATGCTCAGGGAGGCAGATAGAGTGCTAACTATGGGAGCAGACTCTACTTCAGGGCACTTCCATAGCAATTCACAACACCCTTGCAGGTGACAATATATGGGAGGAGAGGTTGTTACACTCCAAATGGACCTCTAGGAAAGTCTGCCTTGTCCCTATCAGAGTGCACCTTGTAGTATAGTAGCTGTGGTAGTTGCTTTCACTAAAGATTCCTGTTTCCTAGCACATAGCAGCCTCAGTCAGCATTCTTTAGCACTGACCAAAGGAGTTGCTGACCGAACTGACCTGATTTGCTGGGGGGGTAGGTGGGGGGTGTCCTATTGGTTTCAAAGGGCTGAGGTATAGGCATGCACGGAGGCAGGTAGAGTGTTGATTATGAGAGTGGGTTCCACTGCATGGGTCTTCTGTAGCAATTCATAGTAGGATTTTGAGTGACAGTAGCTGGATGAAGGAGATGCTACCACACTCCAGACAGACCAGACCCCTGGGAGGTCTGTCTTACTAATTTTAGAGCAGAAGCTTGAGTTCTGCCTCTTTGTATGGGCAGGGGCTGTGATGGTTAGGAAATCAAGCTCTTTTTCTAGGGCCACTATCCCTGTTCACAGCAGTGAGTGGTCCATGTGGCTGGTGGGAGAGGCAGGGATGGTGGGAGAAGTGATTTCCTACTGTAAGTGGTTTTTTGTTGATTTGTTGATTGTTGACTGTCAGCAGTTCCCCACCTCTTTTCCCTGCTCTCTGATTCAGAGTTCCTCAAAGCCAAATACTATTTCCTTGTTGTATTTATGATGGAGGTTTTATGCTTCCATCTTTGCTGAATTCTGTGGATAATTCTCTTTTTATTTATATTAAGTATTTTTTTTTTACCTCATGGATAATATTTATAATATTTATATTAAATGTTTGATAATTTTAACATTTGGATCATTTTGTGATTAACACTTGTTGATTGTCTTTTACTTTGGAAACTGAATACATTTTACAGATTCTTTGTATGTTTAGGAATTTTTTATTGTATCTTGCATATGTGAATGCTGTTTTGTATTTACTTTGTTTTATGTTAAAATCTTCTGAAGAATATTTAGGTCCAGACCACAGGTTCTATCTTTCCTTCTGTAGATGGTAGTTCAAATCTTTGTTTAGTTTTTAAACCTTTGCTGTATTACTCTTTGGGTCTGTTCCACACATGCATATAGTTCAGGGGTTAGACACATTATGTGGGGTCATACATATTTTTAGCAGATTCACTTCTCCAGTGCTTTGGGATTCTGTCTGCACTATCTGGTCTACAAGGGGTTCTTTTCCTAGCTCCTTTGGTAGCAGTAGTTTCTATTGGAGTTTTATGTGTCAACTGAGATCAGTGTATTTCATGACTGGGGTCTTCTCTCAGGGTAAAGCTGTACCAGGAAACCCTCAACTAGGTGGGTAGCTTCTCCAGGTTTTAGGTTTCTTCCACAAGCTGCTTGCTTCTGTTTATTTTTCAGCATCCTGAGGTAGTTGTTTTTTGTACTTTGTCCAGAGTTTTTATTTGTAATCTACAGGAATGGATAGTAGTGAACTTATACTGCTAAAGTAGAAGCAAAACTCCAGTTGCTTAATTTTTCATCCCTGGTTAGTGAGAGTCAGAGATGTGGGTTTGATTCCTACCTCTGCTGTTTCCAGTCTAACACTTGAACTTTTTCATTTGGAAAAAAAATTGCTATGCGAAAATTTGCTCTGCCTACCCATAAGGTTGTATGAAACATATGAGGTAAGGAATGTGACCGTGCTCTGTAAACGAAAAAATTGAATTCAAGGGGCATCACCATTGACTTTTTCTCTCTAGGCACTCCCTGGACCTCACTACTATACCTGGGGAGATCATGGTGGCATCATCATGGCTATTGCCCAGGGGATGGAAACGAATGAACTGAAGTAAGTGTCTCTGATTAAGCTTTTTCTTTCCTTTTTTTAAAATTTGTTTTGTTGTTGTTGAGAATATAGACAACAGAATATACACTAATTCAATAATTCCTCTGTGTATCATTTAGTGACATTGATTATATTCTTTGTGTTGTTCACCCAATCTCACCCTCCTTTTCTGAGTTGTCCTACCCCCAAAACATAAACTCACTGCCCCCTAAAATTCCTATCTAATCTTTTGAGTTGCTGTTGTCAATTTGATCCCATATAGATAGTGCTTAAAAGAGTGTGATACTCAAGGCAGACCTTTTCTTTGTTTTTTTTTACTAGTTAAACTATTGTTTGGCTTTAAGAAGACTTCAGGAGAATATTTTTGGCTTAAAGTTTAGCATTATCTCTGGGCAGTAGTTTTAAGGGTTCAGCCAGCCATCCTGACTACAGAAAGTCTGACTTCCAAGAGAATTTGAAACTCTGTTCTGCATTTCTCCTCTTTTGATCAGGATTTTTCTATAGAATGTTTGATCAAAACATTCAGTAATGGTAGTTAGTAAGCTTTTTCTTTTAACATCAAACTGTGTACCATAATTAGGTTTTCTCTCTACAGGACTAGATTTCATATCTTGCCCCCAACATTCGCACAATTTATGATTGCAGGAAATTCCTTAAATTTTTGGTATCTATAAAATAGGAATACTAATCTGTTCTTCCTTTCTCAAAGGGCTGTTGTGAGGATAAATGAAATAATAATTCATTGATTTGAAAAAGTAAACCTCTTTATAAATAATTTTTTGGAAATTGTTAAAAATTAAGAGACTCTTTGTTTTGTATGTGACTCACACACTCAGAAATTTATTTATAGAGCTCCCCAAAGTAATTATTACTTGATATCCAGTTGACTTTTCTGGAAATACGTTAGGTTTGGGGAGTTCTCAAAAAGAGTTAGAGCTAGAAGGGATATTTGGTGTTAACTGTTTCATTTTACAGATAAGAAAACTGAGGTCCAACAAGTTGAAGTAATGTTCCCAGGTCTTCCAATTTGTCAGTGACAGGTAGGAGTAGCACTCAAATCTGTAGATTATATTCAGTCCTCTTCGCAGTATGTTACTCTGAAAAGCAAAAATGTCAAGGGTTTGTAACTGCTACTTTCTAAAGTCACTTTTTTTCTGAATTCCTGAGTGGTTAATGTTAGTCTGGGGTACCAAGGTAGTTGGTGCAAATAGTTAAAAGTGCTAGGCTGCTAACTGGAAGGTTAGAGGTTCAAGTGTACCCAGAGGCACTTTGGAAGAAAGCCCTGGTGATGTACTTCTGAAACTGAGCCACTCAGCAGGGCAGAGTCCTGCTCTGACACACATGGAGTCCCCAAGAGTCGGAATTAACTCCATGCAAGTGGTTATGTGAGAGGAGGGCAGACTGACCCTTATTTCTCCATTTTGCAGCTGAACCCACCAGGTGGGTACAGAGGTACAGAGGACCTCTGTAATCATCTTGTTTAATAATGCAAGGGAAAAAGCATTCGATTTCTTTTTTTCCTTTGAGAAATAGGGTCAGCAACAAGAGATGGATAGTTTGAAAAAAAGAGATCTTAGCAGATATATTTTTTCCCTTGTGGTTAATTTGACATGTGCCTGGCCTCAAAGAAGCATAGAGAAGTGAAGTCTTATCCCACCTGGCTGTTCTGTCTCTGTGTAGTGCTGGGCAGCTTCGTCTTTCAAGCTAAGCGTCAGAGGGGGCCCTGTTTGTATGCAAAATTTTGTATCTATATTCAGAATGGCAAGTGATTATGGGGGATAGTACAGAACTGGGCAGCATTTAGTTCCATTGTGTATGAGGCTGCCACAAGTCAGGAGCCAACTTCACAGCAGCTAACACCAATCAATAACCATGTGTACCAGGTACTGCACATTTAAAAACAAATAGGATGTTGTCCTCCATACTATAGCGATAAGATAGACATATAAACAATTCATTCTATTGTGGAACACTCTAAACCAAACCAAACCCACTGCTATCAAGTTGATTCCAACTTGCAGCGATCCTATAGGACAGAGTGGAACTGCTCCCAGGATTTCAAAGGCTATACTCATTATGGAAGCACACTGCAACATCTTTCCCCCATGGAGCAGTTGGTGTGTTTGAACCACTGACCTTTTTGTTAGCAGCCAAGTGTTTTAATCACTGTGCCACCAGGGTTCCTCTTTGTGAGATACTGCTATCTGTGAAATATGGATAGAAGGGACATAGCCTAGTTTCCTATGAATACATTTCATTCTTTGTAGTGCATTTAGATTTTAGAATTGATTCTCAATTTTTCTTGCTTTAACTTTTCTACAGGTTACATTGCATTCCAAGTTGGCCTCTTAAAAGTAGTTAGCATGATTCTAGTCCTCTTACACCATCTGTCGGTGCATATGTGCTCAGGGAATGCAGCGTCATTGCTGTACTAGCTGGAGGAAAACAGCATCAGGAATATAAACCTGCTGCCACAAAATCGCCATGCCCTCAGCAAGCATTTGAAATGGTTTTAAGGCTGTAGACTTTGGGATTACAGAAGCTATAGTGCTCCTGTATTTGAGAGGTCATTTGAGGGTGTCTGCCTGTAAGGTTCAAATAAAGCATTTGCAAATATGTAAAATAAGTACTGGCCCCCTACTGACAAGTGCATGCATCCCAAATATCAGTCTGAGGTTGGCCTACGTCTTTGTAGCCACCTGGCATTTACTCAGTATGTTGCTCAAAGGCATTCTTTGCTTCTTCTACTGTTGTGCTTTTGACCTATCACTGCACACTATCAGCTTCACAAGAAGAGAAGCAGGAAATGATATTGAAGTTGGTTAGTACAGATCCTCAAACCATAATTGTGATTTACTGTGATACTCATGCCTGAATGGAGACTGCTTTTGGTAAAACTGGATTTTTGTTTGCTGGTCTAAGGCTTCAGGCCCCTTTTAAGTCTGGCCTCCCTAACCAGTGAGCTCCTTACCTTTTCAGTCTCCTAGCATTTTTTGAGTGGCCCATTAGGTTGACACTGATCATCTACTGACTGCTTTTGTTAGTTACCTTTTCATTTTATGTCTGAATTCCTCAACTTGTTCATTAGTAACATCTTTGTAGGCAGTTATTTCTGTTCTACACAGGTTAGCAGGCACTTAGTAAATATTCAACTGATCAATAAATAGGTCATTATACTTTATCTCTGGAGAGTTCTTTTGTATTATTATTGTTTACTGATTTATAGAACTGGAGGGGAGCTGTTACTGCCAGTTGCACAGCTCCAGGGAAAGCACTCCTGTTGTGGTCTCTAAAAAACAACTTCTGGAGTACACTGTGAGTGCACATTCCCTGGAGATGTGCAACCTGGCAGTGTCAGCGCTGTGCCAGAAATTATCTAATCACCTTCCTGATTTTCTCATGAGAAAATGATGCAATTTTTCAGTTGTTAGGGCACAAGCTGGAACTAGAGCATAATTCTGTTAGAAATTGTTTTAGGCCCATTACACAGACATTTGTTGACAGTCTATTGTGGATCAGATGTTGTATAAGATACTGAGGATGCAAAGATGAGAGAGGGACAGTTTACGAGCTGTTCTTGGCCATGCAGGTCTGTAACACCTCTGAGCACAGCTGGAGTGAGAGGCTTGTGGAAGGGCTTTCTGACCTGGGGCTTTACCCCTTTTAGGGTGAAAAGCCAAGTTGACTCACATCAGTAATTCTAATAAGAGGTTTAATGAGGAAAGAGCATTGCTTAAAGTAAGAGTTAGGGTTTTTTTTCCTGGTGTCTGTTCTTTTAAAGTACTCATGTTTTTCTGTCCCTGGCTGTTAATGTTTCAGCTTCTGCCTTGATTCTCCATGGAGGCGGTTACTTTTGTTATTGTTAGTTGAATTGAGAGCAAGAAGTAGAGCACTGTTTTGTCGTGTGTACATATCTGGAAGGAGTGACTGTGAGCCTGGGCTGGATTCGTTTATTCACTCATTCAGCACTGGGTTACTGTGGACCTGCTCATGGCTGTATAGGAGCTGTTTCTTCTTTTGTTCTTCAGAGAAGGGACTGTAGTGTTTTTTGTACTCTGACCAAAATGCAGAAGACCTGATCACATGTTTGTTGCCTTGATAGTGAAAGATGAGATCAATTTCTGTTTCTTCTTGGCAGTTTGCCTCTCAGCTTAATGATTTTATTGGTAGTTAGTAAAAATACTTCGGACTTGCTCCAAAACGTGTTTCCTCTAAGGAGAGTTCAGATTTCACAGGGGTTCCCTCTGGGACTCTTGAGCAGCCCCCGCAAAAACTACACCCAGCAGAACAGCCTTGAGTTCTGGAAGCAGCTCCATAGTTCTAGAACGTGGAGGCGGCAGTGGGGATATTCATTTGATGGCAGCACTTAATGTGAGTAGTGAAACTTACTGGTGCATTTACAGAAAGAGCCCTCCTCCCTCCATCCTAACTACTCCTGCATGTAGTTTCTTCTGCCCTTTTAGGTATAGTGGAGCATGTGTTCTCATCTAAGAAACTGAGACATGTTTTTTTTTTTAAATAAAAAGAAATACAATGCAGTTTATTTAATTTTACTCAACAAACATTTGTTATGTCCTTCCTTTGTGCTAGGGAAGGGGTTGGACAGTATAAGAAACTTGAATAAAAGGGTTCTTGTTCCTCATGAATGGCAGTAGAGTAAAACAACTCACAGGAACAGGTACTTTAAATATAATTGGGTAGAAGATGTTAAGTGAGTACTGGATGCCGTTAGTTGCTGTTGAGTTGGCTCTGACTCATGGCAGCCCCATGCACAAGAGAGTGCTATGCTACGCGGTCCTGTGCCATCTTCACAGTCATTGGCATGCTCAAGTCCATTGTTGCAACTGCTGTGTGTTTTGAGTGCCTTCTCACCTAGGGGGCTTGTCTTCGAGCACTATGTTGGACAGTATTCTGCTGTGATCCACAGGGTTTTTGTTGACTAACTTTTGGAAGTAGATTACCAGGTCATTCTTTCTAATCTCAGTCTGGAAACTCTACTGAAA